TTTCTTTCCATTTCTTTCTCTCTGTGTGTCCTTTGCTTTCTCTCTTTCTGTTTTTTCTTCTCTGTGTGTGTGTGCCGCTTGCTTTCCATCTTTCTGTTTTTTTTTTCTCTTTCTCTCTCTATCTTTTGTTTTTTCTCTTTTTGTCTCTTTTTTCCTGTTCTTTTCTTCCTCTCTATGTCTCACTTTCTCCCTGTTTCCTACTCCCTCTCTCTATTCTCTCGCTTTCTCTTACGCATTAATTCCCCTTCATTTTCCTTCCATTAGTGAGACTAACGAGCATTTAGTTTCTGCGAGTGTTGGCCAAATTCGAATTCAAAGAACAGCGATTTCAAAGACTAAATGAAGCCAAGGTACGCAAATTCTTGGTTGCGCTAATTGTTAGGTTTGTATGTGCGTTTGTTTGTGTTTGTACGTGTTTGTGTGTATGTTTATGTGTGTGTGTGTGGGTGTGTGTGTTGTGTGCGTGTGTGTTTCTTTAAATATCGCTACTTCTGCCAGTCTGTTAAGTTCTTCTCAGGTTGGTTTTAATTATCTAATTCTTCCCTTATTTACTCCAGTAAGAAGAAGAAGAAGAAGAAGAAGAAGAAAAACGAAAATGAATGTCATCATTAGTTTGTCATTATATCGAAGCTATTATGTCCGTGTCACCTGACGTAACAAGGAAACACTTTTAACATCATTTTTTTTTTTTTTCAGACAATCAAACTTATTCACACCCGTGTCCTAAGATAACAAAGACCTTTATTTTTTTAATCCCCAATTTGAGCTGAAACAAATAAAATAAATGTAACAACATTGTCTCATCCACTTAAATACATTGTTGAAGAAGGAAACACAAAACACAATGTTTACAAAGTGAAATGAAACGATTAAACATAATAATACTAATAAAAAAATATATGTGAATCCTTTTTATATATTTTAAACGGATTCTTTTACTCTGATTTGGAGTTTGATGTTTCCTTTGCTTTACTGACATTTCCTCGTTTCTTGTTTAATGAGGATACTGTAAGAGACACAGGCAGTGGCTTTGGAAATACAATAAAGTTCAAAGTAGTTTAAAAGACATATTAACTTTTGCTTAACTTTTTCTTCTGTTTCTCATTATTTTCTTTTCTTTTCCTTTTCTACTATTTCTCCTTCACTTCTTCTTCGACTTTCTCTTCTTCGGTAAATTTTTCTTCGTCTTTTCATTTCTTCTTCTTCTTCTTCTTCTTCTTCTTCCTTCTCGTTTTGTTACCATTCTTATTTTTTTCTAATGTTATTCTTTGCTTCATAATCATCTTATCACAATTATCATCACCATTATCATCATTATCATTACCATCATCATCAATATCATCATTATTCTTTTTATCACTCTTATTATTATGACTATTATTAAAGTTATCATTATTATCATTAGCATCGTCATCATTATTATCATTAGCATCGTCATCATTATTATTATCATTATTATCTTTTCCATTACCATTATCATTTATTATTATCATTATCATTACTATTATTATTATAATGATTATGATTATGATTATTATTATGATTATCATCATTATTATTAATATTATTATCATTATTATCGTTTATTATTATCATCATAATTACCATTATTATTGATAGTGATAATAAGGATTTTTACTATCATTATCATTGCTATTATTATTACTGTTGCTATCATCGTCATTATCATTATTATCCTTATCATTATTATCCTTATCATTATAATTATCATCGTCATTATCATTATTATCATTATCATTATAATTATCAAAATTATAATTATCATCATTGTTATCATTATTGCCATAGTAATAACAACAATCATAATAATGATAATGGTAAAAATAATAATGATGATGATAATAAGTATCATCATTATTGTTATTATCATTACCACTATTGTTATTATTACTATAATTATTATCCTTATTACCATTATTATTATCATTATTATTACTATCATAAATATTATTATCATTATTGTTATAATTATTATTATGTTCATTATTATTATATTTTCATCACCGCTATATATAGCCTTGCGATATCTATCTCTTTCTATTCCCTTTCTTCCACTTCTCATTTTCCTTCTGTTTCTCTCCCTTACCATTTTCTTTTTGGAAAATAGAGATACCAAAAGTCATAGCAAAATGGTCTATATTCTATATGTAAAGTGGTTTATGTCCATTATATATTGAAAATGGAAGATGAAAAGACGACTTTTCTCTATAACCTCATGCATTTCATTACAAACACACAAAGTACTCCCTTTCATTCGTCGATTTAAGAGTAACCAATAACGTCCCTAAAAATCGTCTTTGTGTATAAATGACGTAAGGCAATAGGTACTTTGAAGTCCATAACAACATTCACCTTAAAGGATCGGATCGTCTGTATAGAGGGTTATGGCGGTCATTTCAATGGGAGAACTGATAGTCACTATAAAGATAAGGTATACATACTCTTGCCATGAGAAGAGACAGGTATATCACCACCGTAG